AGCCACTCTTTTGTTTCCACCCTGTATCGGAGGAGAAGCATCGAGCTTGAAAAGGTCTATCTAGGGAAGCAACTTCTTGTAACGGACCGTCTTTGAAGTTGAAATTTCTGAAGTTGCAACGGGGAAAAGCGTGTTCGAACTTCTCGCAAATATCAGAGGGAAAAGCGAGCGTAGATAATAACCGTCTCTGCAAATGATAAAGAGGCTTACCGTACTGTGGAAATTCCCTCTTTCTCTGTCGTCGAGTATAAAGAGCTATAAATAAATACGACTTGGTCGGGACCGTTTTATTTCTACGGTCAAAGTTAATTAAACGCGGCTCACTCATCAACGGTTCGACCGTTTAGAAATTATGCAAATAAACTCGTTTTCAGTGTTCGGTAAAGAACAAATAACGAATAATATGAAATGGAAGAATGGACAGGGTTGGTTGGGAAAATCGTTCTGGTAAATTAAAAGAATAGCGGAGGAACAGGGTTGAAATGGTTCCAGAAATAATTGTTAATCGCTGTTACATGGTGGAGCGCGTTATAATTGTCACTTCGAGGGAGATTGCAATTTCAGTAACTCGAATTGCCAGTGTTATTTTGATTCTATCGTATCGATTATGGTTACGGTTCTGGTATATATTATGTATTAGATGCAGTTTACTTTAGAATAAGTTATGGGGTATGAGGGTGTGTTCTACGCTATGTACTAGGTCTTGCATATTTTAGAACCAATATTCCAAAAAGCTACTGAAGCTGTAACAAAAATCGATATCGTCGCAGATTTCGCTTCTTTATGGTCCTAGGAGAGAGTAACGATTTCTTCTAGCTATTTCGACATAATAAAATCAATAGTACAGCAGTTAATTTTGACTGCCGTCGTATATGTGTCGATGTTAAAATTTCACGTAGTAAAAATAAACGTGAAACATGTGACTAGTTTAAATTATCTCAATTTACTCGATACGCTAGCCACCAGCTATTCTACATATTTAATTCCCAAACGGAATTTGCGAAATTTGCGGAATTTGTGCAATTATCAGATTTCACCCGGTGCAAGTAATTATTATATACTGCGATAATAATAAACTGCTAAATTATTAAAAAATTATTATTAAATTTTGCGAGGGATTGGAGTGCGAGTGAAGTGGACAGTGGTCATTGGTTAGTCCATGGTGCGAGCCGATGTTCACTGATTCGAAAGTCGAATCAACAAATGACCCCACACAATGAAGCTGTGACCTTTATATAGCAGGCGAGCACCTGACAAAAATCGACTGAAAAGTCACCAACATTTCCTATTCCATTAATAATTACTTTCCGCCATGTTGGCTAATAATTTATGAATTTTTTCGCGCTCATTGCAAATTCACGCATGGAATAATTTATTATTAACAACAGCTGCAGTAATTTATTCATTTCTTTCATTAAATTTAACCAAATTTGCTCTGCCAGAGTATAAACATGCATTACAATATTCTTATTTGCATTTGAGGTTAAATAATTGCACGTATTACATTTAATATTATGAAATATACTCTGAAAATATCAGCTCGATAGCGATGATGAATCGGGATCCTAACCGAAAATCCTATCTTGCCCGATTTCGGTTCTTCATGACGCTTGTAGAAGATAGCAGGTCTTTGAAACCGTTTCGTGAATCAGAATCGATATTACAACAGTTTTCTACCCCTGCGAGGGAAGCTTCAAAGGGGTGCGCGAGTCGCGAAACGGCTGCGATTCTTTTGAAAAGTTTTCAACCCTTATTTTCGCATGGGGTCGAGAGGTTCGTCTGCATGGAAATGAACGGTGAATCGCGCCGGCTGTCGCCACGACCAACGCGTCAAAGCCTCTTTTGTTCTCTCGTACGAAAAGTCGTTGAAGTGGTCTCACAGACGGAAGTGGTGGCACGCGTTCAATTTCGCATCGACGTGACGAAGTTGCTTTCGAATCGTCTGGTAACAATTGCGTGGCTGTTTCCTCCGACGTCGTTCGCGAATTTTCTTTCAATGGCTTCGCTTACTCCCCCGTGTTCCTCGCTTGCCTCTCATTTTTTTTTCTTCCCCTCGTCTTTCATTTTCTGGACACATCGCCACTCGGAGCTTCCCTTAAACTTCGTGGATTTAATAAAAATTCGGAGTTTCAAATTTTTCCTTCCAAAGTTCAAATTAAAAATGTTTAACTTTGATAAATAAGTTTGGGGGATAGAACGGGGAAGGGTCGAAGATCGTACGGGAAAAGAACAATTTAGAGGGTTACGGCGAAAGGGAAGGAACAGCTTGGGATATTCTCAAGGAATTTCATACTTTTGACAGTAATTGAAACGTATTTCCCGGTTACGGGGGAAAATACGGGTGGATTTTTTCCTGGACGTTCAGGTTCGCCCGATAATGCCACGGTATCTCAACGGTAACGGATGCGAAATTCTCACCGCACCAACTTTTCGCGATTTTCTCCTTTCCTTCATCGTTCCTACGGAATTTATGCGAGACGCGAAACTTTCCGCTGACGGCGGGAGTCCTTTTCCCTCGGACTTCTTGAAAATCAGCAGACACTTGCCTTAGAAAAATAGGGAGATAAAACAAGCGGAATCTTTTATGCGCGTTTAATTACATCCGGTGCATGGAAAATTGTTTACGCTTCGCCGTTTATCCTCCTAAATAGCTAATTCGCTCGGTACACACTCGCTGTGGTTATAGCGCGAAGTAAATTATTCTCTAGGTATTACAACGATTTAAGTCGTATTAAGACTCAGAGATGTGTTTGAAGTCGGCCGGGAAACTTCTTGCAAGTTAATGTTGTACATCTTAAAATAATCCAGCCACATTTCTCCCGGTAATCCCTTATCTGGAAAACAGAGCAAACCCGCCGAGTAAATTGGCCTGATCCCGAGGAAAATTTGTATTCGTTCCTAACTGTAATTGAATCTGTAACGTTCAATCCGAACCCTTAAAACTTGTCCGCGTAGCAACGTGGAATTTCATCGGATTTCTGTTTCACCCCCGCGTCGCGTTGTATCCGAACGACGAGGTCGCGCTTTCTTCTTTGAAAAGCGAAAGGGGGGAAAAAATCTCGCGATTCCACCTGAAGTAATCAGTCGCCACGAGTTTTTGCAACAGTCCGTAGTAACTCGATCGCCTCTCTCCGCTTTCGTTTCCCGTCTTTTTCGAGTTCCTCTGAAGGAGATCCTCGGCTCGCGTCTCCAGCTCAGGCGAGATAGATCAAAGAGAGGTGGCTGATAAATTTTCTCCGGCAAGTCATAATAAAGAAGCTCATTCTGTGCTTTCTTCTCTTTCTCTGCTCCACTCCTCTCCTTCTCACTCGCGTTTCCGTCTTCGTCTCGCGCTGGTCGACCCTCGACCCCGTCTGCTCCTTCCTCGTCTCGAGACCTTCATCTCGACCCTTTTACAGGCAAACTCGCTTCAAATTGCCCCTGGAAATCTCATTTCCACCCCCGGCCCCCCTCTGCCAGCAACCGATTCTTGCCGAAAAAAGAATTACACGGCATTACCAACGGGCACGAAGCTTGTACACTCGATGTCGCGCGATACCGTGTGCCCGGGTGTCACGAGCCGGGTGAGAGGGTCCCCGAACTCTCTTGCAACTGAAAAAGAGAAGAAGAACCGAGGGTCTGGTGGTACAAGGATGCAGATGAATGGAGGGAAACGGCGGAGTCTGTCGGGCTTCTCTTTTTCTGCCACTCCCTTTCGAGATCATCTCGTCGACAAGGGCGACGTCCTGGAAAATTATAGTTTGCCAAGGCTGATCCGTTCTAGGTTTTTCTAGCCAATCCTGCTTATTGAACGAGTGCCGGGATGCTGCGGAGATCCTGCGAGGTTTTGCAGCCACCGACAGCCGGAGATTAATTTCTCGTTTACCTTGGTTTTACGGTGACCATATTTAAACGCATAATTCGCAGCGGGACCCAATCCAGACTGTTTAATTTTGAGGCACGGCACGTTCTCGGTGTCTGCCTCGTGGAAGTAACTTTGAAGTAGTCATAATACGAGGGAAATGAGTGAAAATAATAGGGTTTTTCGGACGGGGTTTTGCGCCAGGGCGGAAAGTTTGCGCGCAATTAAGCCGTAGTCAGGCGCGTGAAATTGAATGTTGCTCGATTAATTTTCGTTGGTAAAATATTCGCAGCCAGTGCGGCGACTCGCCGTCACTCAGTCTCAAGATGGAATTTAATTATGCGAGTTAGCTTTACTCGCGTAGACCACACCGCGTTTCCGCCGTTTTCTCCGCTTTAATAGGCTTATTAGTTTGTTATTCGCAACTCGACGCCACTGGCCGAGAAGTTTCGTGCGAGCATCACGGACAGCGTTAATTGGGTATCACTTCGTTCCACGCGTGTTCCCCTTTTTTCTTTTTTTTTTTTTTTACTTTCTCGAATTTAGACTTAATGAAATAATTTGTTGTTTCTACGAATGTCAATTTCGCGTAATTATTTCTCGTCTCTCGCTCCATTTAATTTCTTGCATCGTTGATTTCCTATTCGTATGTGAAAATAAAAAACGAAAATTTTGCTGACGTTTTCATTTATTTATTTCGAAGAAAATACAATTCGTTCGTTGACTAAAATTAATCCTCGAAGGATCGAAGAGCTAATATATTGGGATTTAATTTATATTTACAGATTTGTCTGTGAGGTGCCTCAAGTATGAATGTACTCTTCGAGGGTTAATATTTAATTCGTAGTTGTCCAAAGACTCGCATGTTCGGAAAAATCGAAGGAATATCGCGCTATATTAGGAAATGAAAATTGTCCACTCGACGGCAAGACCTGGTCCTTAGACCCCGGTCTTAACAACCGGTTAATTAAGTAAAGAACCGGGGAACGACATTGTTCGAGTGTGTGCCGTTTCACGAGCGAGCGGAGAGCCATTGAAAATAAGGCTGCGTTTAGTAAACCATTGGCAATGCCGCGTCCCCGGTTTCCACTTAACCTTAAAACGCGAAATTCTCGTTTACGCCGCAGAGATTGATAGGGGTTGTTTTGGTCTTTCGCAGGAAGTAGCTGAGCACCCGTGGGACAACGCGATTCAGGGTGGAAACTGAAGGGAGAACGAGGCAAGTCCAGAACGACGGGGGAGTGTGATTGAATAACCGTGGAAACTTAAACAGGAATTCTGGGTCAAGGTGAGTCTCTTACCGCCTCGAATAACGAAATTTCATTCTTTGCTCTGAATCTCGCGGTACTGACCCCGTGCGAATTCATTATTATAATTCTTCGCATTGGTAGCTCGTGCGGAAAGTGGAAATTAATTGGTAACGGGATCTTTTTGTCACGATTATTCTATATTTATTCGATATAACAATATGGGAATATTTATCCCTCGTGAATGAACGTTTTGGACTTAATTTCGATAGAAAATTAGAAGAATTTCAATCGAGTTCCATTTTGTTTGATCAAAGTGAAACCTTCACGGGTGCAAATCACTTGGTCCCTTGGTACAATTAGCAGTACCATTCTTCGCGACTGTTACGCTAAGTCCTCTTGGAAATTTCTTCCGACTTGGAAGAGATACCCGAGCGGAGGGAACAGGACAAACTTGCGAATAAATTTTGATTGCCAGTTGCTGGTGAAAGCGACCAGCAGGCTGGCGATGATCGTTGTCTCTGCTGCTAATTCATTTCGACTCAGTGATTTCTCAAGAAAGTTTGAACGAGGTCCGGCGCAACTTCTCGCAGGACATAACCTTAAATGGGGTAGAGAAAGCAGAGGTGTAAGAGACGATGGAAGAGGGGCAGACGCGACCGGTAGAGCGTGTCCTGGAAATCCTAGAAAGCCTCGGGGTCAGATAGCACGCTGGCGACGGCATTTCAAGTTCGCCTAAGCAGAAACAGAGTCGTTTCCGAGATAACTCGGATTAATTCTGAAAGTTCCATGAGGTAACCCTCGAAGGGTTGAACTACGGTGTCGAGCTTCCGCTCACGGGATCTCTGGAGGTATGGTTATTAAATTTTGATATTCGGGATTCCTGACTTTCTACCCTGACAAACTTGCGTCGTTTTCAACGCTATACTGGCAATACTATTTTCAAACATCTGGCATAATTTCGGGGCTTGGAAGTTACTTAATTCGAATGGGAAAGTCTCGCTGGTGCCGCAGATAAATTGTTCGATTAACAATTTTTTAATACGAATTTTTTTATTTAAATTTTCCGCTTAAAAATTTTAGGCAGGAAAGTTTCCTCTAAAAATTTCCGTAGAAACTCGTATTTTTCATCATGGTCACTGTATTTCCGATAGAACGAAAAGGTACGTTGTTATTCATGGTAGAATTCGTTGAACTGTTCACGAATAAAAGCTTTTTATAGTATTGATCACGTTTTCGGTTCTGAGTTGTTTCTATGAACAAGGAACTAGCAGAAGTTGAGGCTCTCTAGGGTCATAGTGCTCGCGTGTCATACGTATATATCTGTACATACACGTGAATCGAGCTAGAGCGAAATTTCAGACCTGATGATTTCGTCGAACTAATACCCGTGGGGCAAGAAATTGCAAACAAGATCTCCTCGTCGCCACCTGAAATTAATCCTTCGCGTGCAACAGATGAAACGCCGTTGAACGCGACTCTGCACTCGTCTTTTAAATTGTATTTGGATAGTGGTTAGCCAGGTGATCGGAAAAGCGAGCAAGGGCGTGTCATGACAATCAAAAGAGGCGAGAATTTGAAACCCGTAATATAGATTTTTAGCAATTATTCGAAGATTCTTTGCAGCATTTTAATAATCTCTCCTATGGTTTAGGTTAGCTGGCTATTTAATTTTCCAAAGTTGCATCTTGACGCGTTGCTTGTCGTTCCTTCCAAACGACTTTCCGAGTCATTAGCGTTTATTGTACGAGTATCTTCCAATTTCCAAAGGGAATTTGAATCGCAAATGTAAAAATTACTCAGTGAAATACGTTAGTCAGGGATAGGAAAAGTTTCCAGACCGAGTAAAAAGAGGTGGATTTTTTCCAAGCGAATTCATTCTGATTCTTGCAGAATTACACGATCCGCTGAATTCTGATCTGACTAGCGAGATCGTATCTGCTTCTCTCTTCCTTTTGTTTCCTGGGCGAGCCTATTTTTATCAGTTTCGCCAGTGAGAAGATCTCGCCTGTTCATTTTATTTCCTTAAAAATTTAATTATCGCGCGTAATTGTTTCGTGTCTTTTATGTTTCTTTCGGTGTCATTTCCTCGATTTTCCCGAGAAATACTTCGTTTCTTGCCTTGTCACAAGCGTAACTGTTTTTTCCTGTCACACGATAACAAGTCGATACAAGAACCACTTTTCCGTGACCCGAGTCTTGTTTCGTTCGAATTCCAGGGTTCCGTTTAATTTCCCCGTCTCGTATCTGTCATATCGAATTGTCGTTTCATTCCTACAATTCAAAAGTTGCATAGCAGAACCTCAGTTTTGCTGTCAGAGTTGAAATTGACTTGAATCGTACCGTTTAAAAAATAAGCAATTTCTGTTCTCGCTGTGACATTGCCTTCGCGGTAATTTCTGTCCTCACGATACCTATATCATCTAGTACAATTATTCCAATTGGCATTTTCTCCAAAAGATCCATAAAAGTTACTATATATATTGAATTACGCCGTTGACACTTATTAAAATTTCTGTAACTTTAAACTCCTGTAACTTGTAAGATAGCGACTTCTCGTTGATTAAAACGACGTCGTTGGAAGCAGCGAATCTTCCTCTTTAAAAGGCTTTTTGGTTTATTCAGATACGACTTCCGGTTCTCGAGATATCATCGTTTAAAGTGAGGTATAATTTCTCTCGCTTCGCTATGTCTGTCCTTGTCGCACACTCGGGTCTCTCACTCGCACGTCTGCACTTACCAACCCCAAGTGCGCGACGCGTGCACTGGTCAGTGACAGACCCTTAGTCAGCGGTTTTTTTACTATTACTATCAACGACCTACACATTTCCCGGAAAAAATGTGGGTCACGGTGAATTCGGCACCCCCTACATTTCCACTAATGCTTCGAAGGCCTGTATCTCGCGAACCAATTGAGATATCTACTTGAAACAAAGCAGGTATCAAAGTGCATACATCCTGCTATCGTCCAGATTCATTTTGGAGAAAAAGTTCGCAAGTCTTCTGGGTGTATTTTTCATTGGAAGTTGCCATTACATTCGGACACAATCCTATCGTTTCGAACGATTCGTGGCTATGTTAATCTCGTTTAAATGTGACATACCCCGTGTCCTATTGGAAGAGAATAAGGAACGCGATTTTTTGGTACAGTTTTATTTGTATCGTCGATGGGTCGAATGAAAATCTTGTTTCCCGCCGTTGGTCCGCATAGCTCTCGACAGCGGCGCGTCGTTAAAACGACGTTAGAGTCCTCACCTACGGGATATACGCAGTTATTCGCTCACCCCCGGGAAATTGCTCGTGAAAGCTCGCCGTACGTAAAACCCTTTCCAACGCGCGGCGCGGAATAAATTTTTCGAAAGCTGTTGCGGCGATACTTACTCGGCGTCCCTGTAGAACGATGCGGGCCGATTGATCGCAACAGAGTTTCCATCGAACGCAAAAAGCATTTGCCCCCCCCCCCC